AAAATGATCAAGTATTCTGATTGTAGTTTGGCAGTTTTGAGACAAATACTAGAAAATAGAGTTAGGGTATAAGCTATTGAATAAAGAAAAGCTGTGATTACCTGATGTAATATCAATAACTCCTAACTACAACTAATTTTTTTAAAAAGTGTCATTGATTTTTTAAAATCAGCTTAAGAATAGCTTATTAGGGGATGTGAAATTATTTACTTAGAGTCTCATTAGTTACGTTGATTGACATATAAAATAGTTTAGGTTTTCCACACATCGCTGTGATGGTACAAAACCTGATAAGGTCATTTTTAAGAAGCGATAATTTTATGACTTACATGGAAATTACCGATACTACCGACATAAATTATTCCATGAACTGAAGAAACCACATCAATCATTATTCTAAACAATTGTTAATGATATTGGTGCTCAATTATTTTGTCAGAAATATCTTAAGACGTTCTAGGTTTTTGTTCAAGTCTAGTACTAATAATTTGACTGTCATTATTTGTAGTTGGTTTTAGAACCCATAAAACTTTAAAGTAATTTATTTGTCTGTGAAAAGCAGAGATAATCTTCGTTTTTCGTTGATTTTGTACAAGCTTGCTTTTAATTAACGTCCAACACATAAAGACGGTAAACATTTGAATACTGTTTATGGTTTTTTGGAGATTATAATAATTAAATAGTTGAATTCATGAATCAATTAAAGCTAGACTAGGTTTTGCACGGTGGTCTAGCTTTAATTGACTCATGAATTCAACTATTGAAAAACGGAAAAGTTTAATGAAAATCAAACAAAATCTAGTTAACTTTAATTTATAATAATTTAACTTTCCAATTTACTGTTCTCAGGCTTTTAAGTGAAATGATTACTGGATGCTTTGGTGTATTTTATTTTTAACCTCATTTTAGACATTGAAAATATATTTTATCAAGAATTTAAACTTTCATCTTTCTATAATGCGCTTCAGGAATGACGATGGCTAAATATTAATAAATGGAATTTTCATAATTTAGTCTCTTCATTTCACTGATTTACAGTAATCTACTAAGATGAACATGGACATTTAGGCTATTAAAATTCATATTTTTACTATTTTGCGCTTATTAGTTATTTTAGATATTATTTGATAGACAGTTCAGCCCATAGCCAATCCTGATTCCAGTTAATTTTGTATACTATTAGCATAATTATGGTTTTGGGATTCATTCAGCACATGCATATAGTTTTGCGATGTGAGTTACTTTACTTAAAGATTAAACCTAACTTATCTTTTATTGCCTTATTAATTAGACACTATGTGAGTTTCCTATGATCTGTCATATTTTTGTGTCTTAAGCAAGAAAAGAATAGTTTTGAGGAGGATATTTTCTTTTAGATGATAATATTTGCGAAATATTTACAATCGAATACATAAATATCTCACAAACAGCAATCTATAATATAAAAAAATTTGTTGAGTTATGACGAAATAATCGATCATTTCCCGTATCGAATTATTTATAAAAGCCAAGGGATAGTTAAAGATAGTAAAGTGAAAATAACATAAGAAAGGGAGAGTCAAGAGATAAATGTACACATGCTGAATATAAGGAAGAAATAATTATTTGCTATAAACAACTTACAAAATTGGAAGAGAGGGTTATAATCTTGATAGAACAGGCCTAATTTGATGTTTTATCAAAACCTCTACCGCAGATACGTTTTTCATTCAACTTCTCAGTTCCTTTGAGGCTGGCTAGTTGTAGATGATAATTCATGTGGAGACAAATGACCAGAATCGATCAATCATTCAATAATAGAACTAATAGCTGATATGCAATTGCCTTTAGAAAGCCAAGAGGAATAGTGCTCAGATATGTCTACAAAAAGTGTGCGGGCAACATAACATGATTCGCGAGAGTAAATAAACCAGCAGGTACTAATTGAGGTGGCTCGACGCAGGGGTTTATCCTTGACAAATCTTCAAATCAGTTACCTACCGAAAAATATAATTCGTAGCTCGGATAAAAAAATATTCTTATCAGACGACTCGATTATCGTATTTTCAAGATTTCAGCTGCGTATTCCCCTTGTAAACAATGTTAGTATATGATGTCTTCCAAATAATAGTAGGAGTTATTTCCACTCAATTTTTCGTTTGAGTATCGGCAGTGAACTTGAAAGGAAGGCCATTGTCCATAGATGTCTGACTTATTTTATTCACTTTGTCATCAAGTTTGTTTTGATAGCTTTGTCAATAACTCAACATGCTCTCATTTTATTATAGCTTACTTTGTAGGAAAAAAACTATAAATACGGTTGTAGAGCTTCTGTAAAGAACATCGTCGAGAAGACTTCCTGCGTTGAACTGTCATTCTTTTTGCATCTGCTGATAATTACATAAGAACAATTAAACAAAAGTTTACGCCCATAAAAGCTTTGACGAATATATCTCACTTCAACAGAAAAACTTGGATAATTCTTTTATTTGAGGAGGGGGCTCTATGTCAAGAAGTATAATATATTTGCCTCTATAGAGTCCCTCTAGTGAGTTCAGTAATATCCTAATAACGTATTAAGTGGTCATCAATGAGGAAAGAAATATGCCTTCAGAATCTTAACCTCAGATTTCCTGTAAAATTTCTTTTAAATTTTCCAGCTAATAATGATGATCGTTACGGGGTTTTTCTTACTGATCTTCATGTAACTTTAACAAAGATACTTAACTGCGTACAAACTCTATCATGAATAAACACTTTCCCTAAACTTTTGTAACCAGATAGATCGAAAGTTTCAAAATAATCATCACAATTTATATATTTTATCAGAAATTACAGTAATAGCATTCCTAGGTGATAAATAAAAATATACGATAGGCCAACAGTTACTGAAAGAGTCAAATTAAGAAGACAGACAGAAGGTTAATGAAAGAATTTGAAAACAATAGTGGAATCGGAGAAAATTGTACGTTAGGTGTACTCAGAAACTATTGACATGTGTATTTATGAATGAAATTCATAAATGATAATCATTTGATTTCCTCTTCGAATGATTTAGTGGTAATGCTACAGACACACTTATTTCATGCTTTTATTCTAATCTGAAACACTACACAACTCTCCGTATTCAACTCTTAACCAAAAAATCCTTCTCGTGTGTTTCAACATTTTTCTTTTCATGTAACCTGTATCTCTCATCTAAATGGTGAAATCTGTAAGTTCACTGGACATGATTTTGTAAAGTACTGGGATAACATAAATGCTGCCATTTAAATCCATATTTGGGAATAATAAAGATCCAAGTGCCATGACTTCGTTCAATACATCATATTTACCAAGTTAATGTTTGTATACTCGCTTTTAGGTCATTCTTTAGGTATGAGAGATAGTGATGTATCGTTACTGAGCGTACGCATTAGTAGTTGTTGTTGCAAACAAATGGTTTAAGATAATTCGTACCAAACATCTTTAATTATGCTAAAGGTAAGTCACTGTTATGCAATTTTAGTACGATGTACGGCAAATGAAACTTATGTGAACATATGTCATTAAATAGAGATTATATCTGGAATAAAATACCTTAATTTTAGTTTTAAAAGTATATCAACTTCAGTACATTACAAACGTTACATGTGGTGAATTCTCTTTTAAAGGAAAAAAATAAAAAAACTAATTAAATTAGTCTTCAATAACAATAGTTTTATCCAAGCTGAAATAACTGTATATATATACTACTATGCCTTAGTTTTCCTGAAGACGTTCTGTGTTTTTATTTTTTATTGTATACATTTTGGTTAACAAACTTAAAATTATTAGGATGAAATAAACTACATTGAGCAAAAGTTCAAAAAACGTTTGTGTCGCCTGATGAAATTTCATTTTACAGAACAGTTGGTTCATTTAAAAATTTATATTATTAATTCATTTTTGTCTGTCAAATTACCTTGTAATGAAATGATGTTTCCAGAATCTAATTAACCAACTCAAGGTACTGAGGATGTAATGGGTTATTTACTAGTAATGTAAACATGTGAAGCTTCGTTTATTGTGAAGACATAATGACTGAAAGTTTAATAATCACTAGTGACTGGCTCCATGAGGTATTTCCTGAAGTTCTAGTGAGAAGCAGTAACTAGTGGAGTACAACCAGGTCTGTTGGGAGATATCAAGTCACTGAGGACATTGGTGAATGGTTGCTCAGTCTCGTGGATTGGTTGAAGTTAGACATTAACACCGTTGGATGCCGGCTCAGTGATCTATCAATTAAGTGCTCGCGCGCGAGACTGATAGGTCCTGGGTTCGAATCTCGTGAGACGAGATCGTGGATGCGCACTGCTGAGGAGTCTCACAATATGACGAAACGGACGTTCAGTGCTTCCAGATTTTCCATAGTGGTCCAGCTTCAATCGACTCATGATCTCAACTATATACAATTACTAAAGTCTCCACAAAACCCCTTCTGATATTGCTACAGTGCTATAAACGTAGATTTTATTATTCAGCTGATAGATATGTTTATTTTATAAATTTATAACATAAATAAAAGTTTGATAAATAAACATTAACAATTTCGTTAAAATAACATTTGTTCAAACAATTTTGCTTATAACAGTCATAATAATGTGAAACACCTATTAAGTAGTTTGATAAAATAGAAGTAACCTAATTTTCTTCAAAATTTGATTAACAATTATGTTCCAGTCCATAACAATAATGCTCAATTCTCCAATAGGAATGTTTACTGAATGATGCCTAAACAACATAAAATGATAAATTATTTAAGGTTTATCTCTTTTAAAATCTTCGAAGATTAAAATTATAACCTGTATGAACTTTTGATGGATGACTTTTTTAAGACAGTGCTCTTTGAAACATTATTATTGCAATACTACTTCTCATTCAATAGGTAAACATTGCCTAAAAATTTGTTCTGTGAATTATTTATAGCGATATAAAGTCTAAAAAAATGAGTACAACAGATGTTTAAAAAAATGATTAAATAAATTCATTCATCCACTTACTTTCCCGATAACAATACGTTCATAAATTTCTATCGGTTCATCTGCAAAGAATGGTGGATGACCAGCGACCATTTCATATATTAATACACCAGCTGCCCACCAGTCGACAGCTTTTGTATAACCCTATAAATAATAATATGAATAAAATTATAGTTATTTCGTATTGCATTAAAATTTATTGAGCAAACATTCCGAACCTAGTAACTATAAAAACTGAATTGTTGATCAAAGAAAATGTGAATTTCTTAGGATCTTTGAGTTTTTTACGAACATTTAAGCATGATATTATGAACACTTGAATGTTATCAGTCCATTTTAATGAAATGTCTTGAATAATAGAAATCCATAAATCGTCTAATCCAAAAAATGATGTCGATGTTGTTCTCATAGAGTTTAGGATTACTATACTTGTCATTATCGTTAGACGATAAGTAAAATGAATAAACTGTAATTGTAAATACGACAAGCAAATAGACCAAATGATCGAAACATGAATAGCACCAGAACAGCTGACCTTGACTGACTGAGCAAGTTAAGCGGATTTATATATTAACTGCATTCAACAAGCTGTTCACAAAAAAACCCATCACAAACAAACTTTATTTATCAAACATGGTTAGCAGAGATGGATAGTGGCTAGCAGTGGAATCCAGAACGCGCGTTTCGTCCTATTTGGGTCTCGTCAGCTGGATGTACCTGCATCTCAGAGTTGATGTTCACTCTGGGATTCGAACCCAGTACCCTCGCTTCAAACGCCATCGCGTTATCCACTCGGCCACTGAGTACTGATTCAAACAAACAATACTAAGTTGAATTTAAATTTCACCCCATGGCACAAGCAAGTGGCTATCAGGACTCAGTGGCCGAGTGGATAACGCGATGGCGTTTGAAGCGAGGGTACTGGGTTCGAATCCCAGAGTGAACATCAACTCTGAGATGCAGGTACATCCAGCTGACGAGTCCCAAATAGGACGAAACGCGCGTCCTGGATTCCACTGCTAGCCACTATCCATCTCTGCTAACCATGCTTGTGAATTAAGGTATATCGAGGCAATACGCAGAATATGCACATATGCCAATTAGAGACTGACCAGTTGCAGTCCTAACAAATCGATGGGAAGATTCAAACAAACGATACTAAGTTGAATTTATTTATCAAAGTTGAAATCATGAGTCAATTGAAGCTAGACCACCATGGAAAACCTGGAAGCACTGGACGGCCGTTTCGTCCTACTATGGGACTCCTCAGCAGTGCGCATCCACGAACCAACTTTGAAAAATACTGAAATCTCCACAAATCCCCTTCTAAACTTTATTTATATTTACAATATATTTGTGATGTAATAAATATGTATTTAGGAAAATTAGAAAAATAGTTAACTAAGCCATAATTCCCAATTCAGTAGACTGTGTCCACTTGAAATGTCCTGTATCACAAGAGTAATATTTCCTAAAAAAAATTCAAACAAAGTTGTGATGATTTTATATGTTAACACTATGCTGATCAGATAAGGGTAGTCTGAAAAGTAAGTTAAGACATCTCATAAGCAAATCTCACCAGAGAATTAGGAAATGGGTTTCAATGCCTTTAGCACTAACTAGTCTTTCACTGTTTAATTACCTAATGTATAATGTAGGCAATCTATCACATGTCAGTTGAAACCTAATTAAAATAGGGTAGATGGAATTAAAGTAACTTTTCTGATAATAGCTAAGGGGAATCATTATATAAGTAGGTTATCATTTAAATGCTGAAAATCAGTATAATAAAAGTTCTGTCTATAGGCTACTACAATTTTAAGTAAATCAAACTAACTACAGAAAAACGAATAACAGAAACACGAAAGGCGATACGAATATTATGTAACAGACTGAGTATTGAATATTAACTATGAATTCATACAACAGAAAACATCGACGTATATCTTGTAAATATAGTTGACAGTTTATCAATATTTTGAATATAAACTGTTTAACTTATCAAACAACATTTTCAATGTGATATGATCTGTTGTTCATGTGAATTGTTAGATATATTGAGAAGTTTTGAATTACACCACTGTATAGTCATAATTATTTTTTATATAACCGAAAAAGAAATGACATTGTACGATTTAGCGAGGACATGACTGAGAATTGAGTATTACTCGTTTGCAATTTACAATATTGAAACGTATCAGTGGGATGAAATAAATGTCATAACACAAAATTTTTTTACGAGTTGTTAGTTTTTAATCTTTCACCCCATATCAACGATGAACAAATGAAAAGGATAGTTATCAGTATAGATGGATGATGGCTAGCGGTGGGATCCAGGACGCCATTTCGTCCCGTTTGAGACTCATCGGCAAAGCGCACCTGCTTTTCTGAGTTGACATTCAACCCATGAATCGAACCCAGAAACATTCGCTTCAAACTCCATCAAGTAATCCTCATAAATGGGAAGATTTAAACAACAAAAACAAATGAATTAAAACTTTTAATTGTTTTCATGTGTGTGACGATATACAGTTAATATTTGTTTCTTAAATAATTATTTTGTAACTCTTATACAGTTTGGAGTAATTATCTATAATACCAATTCAGGTTGTTTTATAAATTCAGTCAATTCACCAATGACTATGAATAATAGCATATTTGTAAACATTATTGATACAAATATCTTGAAGATTAGTTGACTCGACCACTAATATAGTCATCATTGATAACATTTCAGAATCATGTTTTCAATATGTTTAGTTGAAACACTAATAATATTATTACAATATGGTAAAATAAATGAAGTTACAGTATCAATTAGCTTCAAATCTTAAGTCCGAAAACTAGCGTTTTTCGAGATTATGTAATGCATAAGCCCATAGACTACTAACGTCTTTTAATTTCGGGCCTTTTTAGTCGAAGTTGAGGCTGTTTTTTAGGAAATCTTGTATTAGATATAGTCACAGGAATAAACTAATCATTAGGAAGTAAAGACTTCTGTTGATTATTTGCTGTTTACTAGTCCACCGATTCATGATATATTGTAAATCTCCAAAGTATCTATTCATAAACAATTTATGACTTTTAGTTTACCAAAGGCAAAACATACGGTACTAATTAATAAAAAAATTCTGTTCATGTTTTTAACTATGAAGAAGACAAAAGTAATTAGAAGCAAAAAAACATGAACAGTAAATGAATATAAAACTTACAATAAACTTTTTTTACAAATTTTACTCATCATTAACGTCATATGATGTAAATGAAATTAAAATTGTGTCAAATCTAGTTTGTCACTGTTTTGCATTTGTTAGTGATTAGCTTTAATTTCTTTATTTTCATCGTCACTTATGATAGAATTTAGACTAGCAGCTTATCATTCATTAGCGAAATATTTTCACTAGTCAAAAGAAAGACCATATTATTTCTTTTGTTATCGAACAACGTTAAAAAGCGACTGTAAACCTCATATTAATTCTTCTAATATGTTTAAATCTTTCGCCTTGTCCGACGGAATGACTTTTGACTTATCACGTAAAGTTTGTTCTAAATCTTACAGTTGCCGTTAAAAGCTGCAATTGATCAGCCTCTTTAAGGATATGTGCATTTTAAGCAAATAAAGGGTTCAATGTTGAAAACGAAAGACTGTGTACGAGACCCGCTTTGAACATCAACACGTTTGGAAAAGCAACCAGTCTCAAACAGAACGAAACACGGGTTCTTGATACCATTGGTAGCCACTATCTAAAGCTAAGTAAAATGAATGTAACTTAATTGCGATCTCGAGCAATTTTGCTGAAGGTAACCATATCAAAAAAGAGGTGGAGTGAATAGAATTCTTAGAACCAACCATAAGATTCCGAAACACTTTTACAAAAAAGTCCAATATTCCACAAAAACAGTCAGAAACCTAAAACGTATGACAATATCATATACATTAATGTTAAATCTACTTGGAGAGTTATATTTAGTAATTTCTAAAAGCCACTAAAATAGCGATGTTATAAAATTTGATAAAATCACCCCGTTCTATCTAGATGTGCAGTTTTTACTTAAAAATGATATGCGAATTCATGAATTTAATGTTAACCGGCGTTGCACACTGTAAACGGTAATATGATAAATATTAATTAACAAACACCGATTTTCCTTGTTAAGTAAATGTAATTTATTTTTAAACATTTCATTTTGAGATGATTTATTCAATATAGTTAATGAAGCTACGTATGAAATTCAAATTTTCGAAATAATATGCTGGTAACTAAGTTTGTTAAAAAAAGAACTATTTATGTTCACCAATATACTGACTCTTAATATAATCTTGGAAATATGAAATCAAATTAGAAGCGTTGTATTAACAATATATTTAAAGCTTCAAAAATAATCTTGTCAATGTTGAAGATAAAATCACTTCACGCATAGAATGTGTAGCTACGTACTATTTTTTCCGTCTTGATACAATACAACTTTTAACAAAATATTTCTTTTAACTAGTCCATACATTAATCATTGGTTCTTGTTTTCACTTATAATTGGTATATACAATTTGCTTTTCTTCTTATAGATATATTTTCTTTTTTTTTGTTTATGAAACTAATTTTGTGAAGTCTTTATCGAAGTATAAAATTGTTTTGTTTTTATTTTTTTGAGAAGACTAAAATTCACACATTAAAAATATTAGAAAACAACTACACTAAAACACAGGCAACAATCGAAATAAGGAATCTATGTTTATTGTATAGGTAAACATAATTGAATTTCTTGAAAGCAATTCACAGAATGTGTTGTAGAAAAAAAAGGTTCAGATAATTAGATTTCACGACAAATTTATAGCACATAAAAATAATCTGACGTGTACATATTCATTGTCAGTATCCTTGGAATTTTTACATGAACAAATTATATTTCTATATTTTTAAAGGTCTATTTTGTATATTTAGAATTTATCTCTATCTGCTATAGGATTATAACACGAATAACGTCAGATAAGAAGTATAACACTATGATTACGTCTGCTGTTGGGTGTATTGATCGAAGTTGTTGTTATTAGATAACTTAATTGAGGCGCTTCATCAGCAACTACTTACTATGATTACCGTACATGAACTTCGCATACATGTCCGGAAAAATATTGACACAAATAT